CATATAGACCAATGGAATAGAATTGAGATTCCAGAAGGAAAACCTCAATTTCTCAACCAACTCATCTTCAACAAAGCCTCCACCATCTACCACTGGGGAGAGAAGAACTTATTCAGTAAATGGTGCTGGGAAAACTGGCTGACCACATGCAGAAAATTGAAACAGGACCCCTATCTATCCCCATACACAAAAATTAACTCTAAATGAATCAGAGACCTAAATGTAAAACCTCAAACCATAAGAACCTTAAAAAATGAAGGACATACCCTCATGGAAATTGGAACTGGCATCCAATTCCTGAACAAAACCCGAAACCCACAGGCCATAAGAGATAAGATAGACAAGTGGGACCTCATTAAACTGACAAGCTTCTGCAAAGCCAAAGAAATCATCAAGAGAGCAGGGAGACAGCCTACAGACTGGGAAAAAGGATTTGCCTACTCCAGGTCTGACAAAGACTTAACATCTTGGATCTACAAGAAACTAAAACATGCTAAAAGAAAAAAACACACAACCCCATTATAAAATGGGCAAAAGATATGAACAGACACTTCTCAAAGGAAGACATCTGAGCATCCAACAGACACATGAAGAAATGTTCAACTTCACTAATCATCAGGGAGATGCAAATCAAAACCACACTGAGATACCACCTAACTCCAGTCAGAATGGCAATTATCAATAACTCAAAAAATAACACTTGCTGGAGATGGTGTGGCAAAAAGGGAACACTTCTACACTGTTGATGGGAATGCAAACTAGTGCAACCTCTGTGGAAAACAGTATGGCGATTCCTAAAAGCTCTAAATATTGACCTCCCATATGACCCCGCAATCCCCCTACTGGGAATATACATTGAAGAACTCAAATCACTCTATAGAAAAGATACCTGCACACATATGTTTATCGCAGCATTGTTCACAATAGCAAGAACCTGGAAGCAACCATGCTGCCCATCAAAAGAGAACTGGATTAAAAAATGTGTTACATGATGGAATACTACGCAGCCATAAAAAAGAACAAAATCATGAATTTTGCAGTAACCTAGATGGAACTAGAGTCTATAATACTGAGTGACCTCTCATAGAAACAAAGACCTGAGTATCACATGTTCTCACTCATATAGTGGACCTTGAACATCCAATGTAATACTATAAGAAAATGACTGACAATGGTGGGAAACTATTGGGGGGAGGGGAAGGGAGATGGGATTAGCAGTAGTAAATATCTGTCTAGGGACAGGGAGACACCTCTTATCAACAAGGCTGCCTGAATGAAGTATATTTGTATACCTTCCCCTTAACTGTACCCCACAAGATCATAATAAAAAATATTGATAAAAAAATACAAAAAAAGAAATAGGATATAAATAAAATGGGAATTTCTACTCAAATATACATTGAAAATGTGTCAAAAGTTATTTCTCCAATTACCAGTGTGAAAAGTACAGATATTCAGAAACCAAATGTGAGTGAGACACTTAAACATAATTAAATTGAGAAGGAAAAAAATCTTCTTTATAAGATAAGGAAGGGAGCGATCTCTGAGAAAGACGGCAAGATGGATGCGGGATTCTTCCATGGAACAAGTGCAGAACAGGATAATCAGTTCAGCAACAAACAGAAGAAACTATTGAAGCAGCTGAAATTTGCAGAATGCCTAGAAATAAAGGTGGACACGAGCAAAGTAAATTTGGAAGTTATAAAACCTTGGATAACAAAACGAGTAAGGGAAATCCTTGAATCTGAAGATGATGTTGTGATTGAGTTTATATTCAACCAGCTGGAGGTGAAGAATCCAGACTCCAAAATGATGCAAATCAATCTGACTGGGTTTTTGAATGGAAAAAATGCTAGAGAATTTATGGGAGAACTGTGGCCCCTGCTGTTAAGTGCACAAGAAAACATTGTGGGAATCCCTCCTGCTTTTCTAGAACTGAAGAAAGAAGTAATAAAACAAAGACAGATTGAGCAAGAAAAATTGGCAAGAAAAAACAAGATGAAGATTAAGATAAGAGGGATAAGGAAGAAAAAGAAAACAACAGAGAAAAAAGGGAGTGATCTCGAAGCCCAAGAAGATGCAAATCCAGATCTCCTTCCTCTAGAAGACGATCTTCCCCTGTTAGGAGAGAGGGAAAGCTCAGTCATTCTCTATCGCCCCATCACAGAACCAAGAGCCGGAGTACTTCCCCTGCCCCAGAAAAGAAGGAAAAAACACCAGAGCTCCCAGAACCTTCAGTGAAAGTAAAAGTACCTTCAGTACAGGAGGCCACTTCTACTAGTGACATTCTGAAAGTTCCTAAGCCTGAACCTGTTCCAGAACCTAAAGAACCTTCTCCAGAAAAAAAATTCTAAAGATGAAAAGGAAAAAGACCTGACCAAGATCTCGGACACGTTCCAAATCAAGATCCTGGACATGGTCTCGCTCTCTTTCTCACACTCGACCTAGACGGCGCCATAGATCCCGAGCAAGATCATACTCACCTAGAAGACGGCCAAGCCCAAGAAGGTGGCCATCTCCTCGAAGAAGAACTCCATCAAGACGAATGTCTCCCCCACCAAGGCACAGAAGGAGCACATCTCCAGTAAGACGAAGAAGGTGTTCATCAGCATCCTTGTCTGGGAGTAGCTCATCGTCTTCTTCATCTCGTTCCCGGTCACCGCCAAAGAAGCCTCCCAAGAGGACATCCAGTCCCCCAAGGAAAACTCTGACAAAACATAAAGGTACTGAGAAAAGAGAGTCCCCTTCACCAGCACCGAAGCCTAGAAAAGTAGTTATCTGAATCGGAAGATAAAGGTGGCAAAATGGCTGCAACAGATTCTGGACAGCAGAGATGGCAGTACAGACGACAAAACCAGCAGTCTTCATCTGACTCCGGCTCCTCCTCCTCTTCAGAAGATGAGAGACCCAAAAGATCCCTTGTGAAGAATAGTGAGGTGGGCAGACGGTGGAGACATTCCCCTTCCCGGAGTGCCTCTCCATCACCACGAAAGAGCCAGAAAGAGACTTCCCCTCGGATGCAGACGGGAAAGCGAGGGCCATCGCCAGTGACTAAAAGGGGTAGATAGAGGAGAAGTCCCTCCCCACCACCTGCCAGAAGGCGACGTTCTCCTTCTCCCGCTCCTCCTCCCCGACGGCTCAGGTCTCCCAGCCACCACCACGACGAAGGACTCCTTCTCCGCCACCACGTCGCCGTTCACCCTCTCCAAGAAGATCCTCTCCTCCAATACAGAGGAGATCCTCTCCTTCTCCACCTCCTAAGAGAAGAACGGCTTCTCCCCATCCTCCTCCTAAGCGAAGGGCATCACCATCTCCACCACCAAAGCGTCGGGTCCCCCACTCTCCACCTCCTAAACAAAGAAGCTCCCCAGCCACCAAGAGACGTCCGCCTTCGTTGTCATCCAAGCATAGAAAAGGGTCTTCCCCAAGCCACTCTACCCGGGAGGCCCGGTCACCACAACCAAACAAACGACATTTGCCCTCGCCACGGCCTCACGCTCCTCAGACCTCCTCCGGTCCTCTACCTGTTTGAAGAGGAGCATTGTCATCACCTCAGAGAAGGCAGTCCCCGTCTCCAAGTACTAGGCCCATTAGGAGAGTCTCCAGGACTCCGGAAGATAAAATGCCCAAAAAAGGCTGCCTCGCCAAGTCCACAGTCTGTAAGGAGGGTCTCATCTTCCCGATCTGTCTCTGGATCTCCTGAGCCAGCACCTAAAAAGCCCCCAGCACCTCCATCCCCTGTCCAGTCTCAGTCACCCTCTACAAACTGGTCACCAGCTGTACCAGTCAAAAAGGCTAAAAGCCCATCACCAAGCCCAGCACTGGCAGGAAATTCGGATCAAGAAGGAGGCGGGAAGAAAAAGAAGAAAAAGAAGGACAAGAAACACAAAAAGGATAAGAAGCACAAGAAGCACAAAAACCACAAGAAGGAAAAGGCTATGGCTGCAGCTGCTGCGGCTGTTGTGACCCCTGCAGCCATTGCTGCTGTCACAACCACATCAGCACAGGAAGAACCAGAGGCGATGCCAGAGCCAAAGGAGACTGAAAGTGAAGCTGAAGATAACCTTGATGACTTAGAAAAGCACCTGCGTGAAAAGGCCCTGAGATCTATGCGGAAGGCTCAAGTGTCCCCACAGTCTTAGGTGGAAATGTTTGTTATGATGTAAATTTTATTTGGTTTGTACGCAATTCAATTTAAAAATTGCTAAAATGAAGCCGGGCTCGGTGGCTCAGCCTGTAATCCCGCGCCTTTGGGAGGCTGAGGTGAGTGGATTGCCTGCGCCCGCGGGTTCGAGACCCGCCTGGGCAGCGAGACCTCATCTCGACAATAAATCGAAAAATCAGCCGGGCGTGGTAGCGCGCGCCTGTAATCCCGGCTACTCGGAAGGCTGAGGCGGAAGGATCGCCGGAGCCCAGCGGGTCGAGGCTGCGGTGGCCGGGAGCGGCCACTGCACTCCAGTCTGGGCGACAGAGTGAGACTCCGACTCAAAAAAAAAAAAAATTGCTAAAATGTGTTTGAGCTTTAGACTATTAACATTTGTTGTAATAATTGCTAGGTTGAAGTTCACGATGTAAAAACAGGGGGGGCGTGGATTTACATTGCAAAAGGTGTCTACAGTGTATTAGTGACATTCTTTCGTTGACAGCTGACATAAATCATTTAGAGTGAAATATTTTAAGCAAAAAAAATTCCCTTTTAAAAAAAGGGGGTTTAATTATTGTTGGCATTCTTATGGTTCTTTTCAATGCTCCTGGCTATTGCCAGAGAGTTTTCTTATTTTTTCTTTCACTCTTTACTTTTTCTCATTTGAGTCTTAGCACCCATTTAAGTTATGCTTCCAACCTCGTATGGTTTGTAAGCTTGCCCAGAAATAAGGCCACTGTTTTGAACTACCACAAAAGTATAAATGAATTTTTTAATGCCACAATCTTTCCTGTTGCCTGTGGGGTCTCTGCTGAAATGAATCAGGATTTGAGCTCTAGGATGAGACAGAAAATGAAAGCATGTTGTTTATCAGAGACCATGGGTTTGTATCAATGTGTAACAAGTTGATTTGGAACACTGGAATTTCATTCTATTCTGTTCTTCTGGTTTTGTTTTGTTTTCTTCTTTTGTAAAGGCAACTAGTCCCAGGGAGGATCTTTCAGTTACATAAAATTTTGTTTTATGAAATTTCATGGCTCCATTCATATTTTTATCTTGTTCTTCCAATTGGTGTATACAACTTTCAAAGCTCCTGTGTTTGGAAGGCTGGAAGGGCCCAGACTTTGAAATAGTGTCTTGATTTCACTGTTTTTGTTTTGGGGTTTTTTTGTTGGTTGGTTGGTTGGTTGGTTGTGTTTTTTTGTTTGTTTGTTTGTTTGTTTTTTAACTACAGCTATATAAAGCTTGTGGATTAAACAGAATAAATTTCTAAATTTAAAAAAAAGGGAAGATAAGGAAGGACAAAATGATGAGGTACACACACATTTTTCAGGAGCAATTGATAATATAGAACATGAGAAGGAAGTACTTGGACCAGATTTTTAAGTAGACTGAAAAAAAGACTGACAATATGCGAGAAAGATTATTAAGAGATGTCAAGCTCTTTCAATTCTCTTATTTAATGTTCAAGAAGACAATTATGGAGAACCACAACAGAGAAAACTTTGGAAATAGGAGATCAAAAGCCGAGCAATGAGAAGAGACTCTTCAGCACAAACTGATATGAATGAGGAACAAAATCCAGATTATGAACACATTCAAAATGTCATTGAAAATATGTAAGTGATGCTTTAGAGCAATCTTCTCAAAGATCAGCATGTTTTTCAAAACTCAATTATAACAAAAGTCCCTGAGAAGAAAAAAACCTTATATGCAAAAATAAAATAAAATAAAACCCTAAATGTAATTCAAAAGGGTAGCAAGGATTTAGCACAGTCTGTTACAACAAAAAAAAATCCTCCTTAATTACCAAAACTGTCTCCGTCAAAGAAAAAGAAGAGGAAGAGAGAGAGAGAGAGAGACAGAGAGAGAGAGAGAGAGAGGAAGAGAAAATGAGGGAGAGCAACAAAAAGTAAGTGAATCCAGTAAACTAGACCATCCTCACTACCCACCAGAAATCCAGAATTTTTCCTGCTAAATTTTTGGAAGAAATTATTACTGAAATTGTTAACAAATTGATTTTTTGTTCTATACCAGAAACACAAATACATGATGAACTACGATACTTCTATGAAACTAATTGAGTCACTGGTAAAGGAGTTTTCAGATGCCCAGATTAAAGTACTCATGCCAAGCCGGGTTGTTGGCTCAGCCTGTAATCCCGCGCCTTTGGGAGGCTGAGGTGAGTGAATTGCCTGAGCCCGTGGGTTCAAGACCCGCCTGGGCAACTTGGCGAGACCTCATCTCTACAATACATCAAAAATTAGCCAGGCATGGTAGCACGCGCCTGTAGTTCCAGCTACTTGGAAGGCTGCGGCAGAAGGATCTCCGGAGTCCAGCAGGTCAAGGCTGGGGTGGCCGAGAGCGGCCACTGCACTCTAGTCTGGGTGACAGAGTGAGACTCCAACTCAAAAAAAAAAAAAAAAGTACTCATACCAGATAAGGGAGATCAGTTTTTCCCACCTGTGGGTAAAGTAGCTTCAGCTCCTAAAGTGCCTCCCATGTATAAAGAACTAACTACAGATGAAACACTATCCAGCATTAAGATAAGAACTGTGAATAAAATGCCATTTATGCATAAAATGACAGAAAAATCATCTTCAGATAAGATACCTTTCTTACATAAAATACCATTAATTGATAAAAACATTGGTCAATAGAGTTGTTCACTCCTCTGTTTGCAATAATTTGAATGAATATAAATCTCAGGATTTTATTTGTAGGAATATAAAGAGTAAGGGAGAAAACTTAGCAAGAAGACTGACTAGTGCAGTAATAAATGAAATTTTTCAACATCAGCTTGACTATATTTTGTGATGAGGTTCCAGTTACAGAATATCTGGTTCTGGAATCTAAGGATATTGTTGGAAATGTCCAAAAGTTGGCTGAATCATCCAGCAAAGAATGTCAAACTTCAACACCATATACCATAGTATTGCCTCATAAATTTTTAGAGAATGTGATTTCTGCTCTTTTATCTGAGAAATTTTCTCAACAACATTCAACATCAAGCCAAAATATCTAAGGACAGTTTGCTCACAGGACTGGATTTCCTTCAAATGAAGTTAGAAAGTATAGTTGCTACAGAAATCTCCCAAAAAGAAGATATGATTATACAGTATGTAGAATCCTTACATTCCAATGATGATGAAATTATTCAATTAGTTGTTCGATCTATTCATAATAATCTCTTGTCACAGTTTGGATCACAAGAGATCATACAAAGCTGTGTAACCAGTGGATGCAGAATAGTTCTATGAGAAATGACTGGCAATCAGCTGCAGAACTATTTTTGTGGAGAGCTAACTCCACATCAGTATGTAGAAGTCAAAAGTGTTGTTGAAAACATCCTTAGAGATGTTATCCAAACTACTGATGTGCCCTCACCTGAATCATCACATGCTCATAAGCTGTCTTTTAACATAATAGAAGTTGTTATAAAATTTGCATCAAAGTTTTTGTCTGTTTCCAAAAGTGCATAAGGAAAGAACCAAATCTCTAGAAACTAAAATACAAATATATATATATATATATATAAAATATTAAGTTCTGTCCAAGAATATATGTCCAAAAATAAGATTAAACTTGTACCACAAGTCAAAGAATCACCTACTGTCCCTGTTGCTGACACAGCAACTATTGAAAAAGTAGTTGATTATGTTTATACTTGTGTTTTAAAGCACTCTGGCTATCATACTTTGGTATTTAATGGGAGGGAGCAATGTTTTTTTTCTTATTATAGTCTTTTTAATGGTGAAGAAAATTTTCAATTCTGAATTTCAACCTCAAGTAGAGGAAGAAGTATCAAATTCAGAATTAGTTCTGGAAGCAGTCAAAATTAAGGAAAAAGTAATTAAAAGTATTGATTAATTTAATTCCCAGGAAAAGTCTTCATCTAGAAAAGGTTCTACATTAGATGCCAAGCTTTTAGAGGAAGGATTAGCCTTATTCTTGACAATACTTGTCGGGTTGTCAAGTACATAAAGCAAAGATGAAAAAAACCTTGCCGAAGCTCAATTAAAGTTGCATCTCAATTGACAAAGTTTGTAACAGCTGAAATTTCCAAAAGAAGCATTAGTCTTGTGGCTTCTCATCCTAAAGAACACCTTTTAAATTCAGAAAATATTGAAAGGATTAATCAAGTTGTTGATTCTGCTTGTAGTAACATACTGCAACAATCTGGAATGCACAAAGAACTTTATTATGATATGAAAGATACAAACACAGTCTTCCCTGAAAATTGATGGGAGTTTATTGATGGGAGTTTCAAGTTTTTCATTAGATACAGTTAGCTTAAAAAATACAAATAGTAATCTCTTTGGAGGACTAGACAGTAGATTTGTTCAAAAGGCACAGAAGCATGCTCTTATTATGAGTCCTGACTTAGACAAAGAAGTGTTGGGTCAAGATTGATCTGAAGAGAAGTTTCACATGTTTGGAAAAAAACAATCCAAATAGATCCAAATATTATATCAGAACACTTAGACGTTATTTCTATGAAGACTCAACTTCTTGAGAAAATTAAGATGGAGTATTTAAGAAATGGACATAGCATGGCAGAACTGAGAAAAGTAACAATAAGTGAGAGAAGTTACTTCTCCTCGGACTCATCTAATTTAGAAACCAGAAAGTGAAAGATGTATCTCAGTAGATAAGAATGGACATCTGGATGTAAAACCCTTAGAGGTAAATGCAAAGGCAATGGCAGAAAAATGAGTGAATAGTGAGACGTTATTCTCAAATAAATATATGAGAATACAGTTTTGTTTTTGTTATTGTTGTTGACAATAAGAGAATAGGTTGCACCAGTTCATCTATACAATAAGAGAACAGGTTGCACCAGTTCATCTATACATTCATATGATTTCCTGGGACTTAATATATAAGTTCTGTATATCACTCTAAAGGTCTCGGGCTAGTTTTTCTTAGACAATCCATTTGAAATAACATTTTCTGAAGAATGAGAATCTAGGGACACATCCTTAGCAGTAAAATTAGGCTGACTAAATTTATAGTTGTCATTTGAAGCATCAGAAGAAACA